ACCACCAGTGAATCAACACTGTCATCAAGACAATGATGGACAGTGCCACACCACCAGTGAATCAACACTGTCATCATGACAATGATGGACAGTGCCACACCACCAGTGAATCAACACTGTCATCATGACAATGATGAACAGTGCCACACCACCAGTGAGTCAACACATTTCCGCCCATTAAGTAAAAAAATCCACGTCCAGTATCACTATGGTAAGTCTTGCATCATACAGGTACTGCATCGTTTAATAATTATTCTCTGTGAATGCAACAGATCCTGAATTATTTTTTCGTAAAATTTAGCGAATGTTAGTCACAGCTTGCATAAACTACTTATAAATGTGAATATTATTGTGAATGTCTGTATTCTGCGACATTCTAATAGATTGTCTTTCCTGCCATGTATACACATAACACTATGAAGGGATCCAGGGAAACCGGTTAGCCGGACTTGAGTCCTGGAAGTGGGAAGTACAGTGTCTACACTCTGAAAGAAGGATGGGGAATATTTGCAGTTCTGAACAGTGGCATCGGCGCCCCTCTGGCAAGACAGTGATGGAGTGAGTGATGGTGAAAGCGTTTCTTCTTTTTCGGGTCACCCTGCCTCGGTAGGAAACTGTATTTTATCTAAATGCATCCCTCTTGGTAATGCTGCAGAGATTCAATACTCCGTAAAGAGCCTCTTTCATTCCCTGCTATATTAACTTAAGATGCTATGGATAACTAAAGTATAATTAACACATATCAATGCTTAGTAATATCCGTACAAACTTTATGAGTATTTCGCAATTATTCAACTTATTTTTTTCCAGTTCTTCTGCAGTATTATTAGTGATGCTTCTGGAGTTAAGAATTAAATAAAAATTTAGTTCTTTCTTGATTATCTACAACTTTAGCGGCGGCTAGTTTAAGCTCAGTGAACCAGTTGGGTTATGAAGGGTGACACCACGAGCGGTGGACAATAAACATTAATGTATTTATCAGAATATTTATTAAACGAAACGTAGCTTCATCTGGACTGGTGAAGCCATGTTTCTTGTAATAAATCTTCTATCTACTAGTTTTTTTTTTAATCAGTTTGGGTTCTGTGAATATCTTATATAAGAGTATAAGTGATTCTGTATTGAAATAATTTATTAAGTCAGACGATCGATCGTTCTTTTGTGCGGTAAGATAAATGAGATCTCACTCACTTCTTTTTAAAGTTGTGGACTGAGAGAGACAGTGAAGAAACAGATAAAAGATAATGAATGAGCAGTAAAGAACCATAAGAGGAGCAAGGAGATAATTTATTATTTACAAAAAATTACTGAGTACTAGTGGGTAGTACGAGTGTTATTAATAGTACATGACTTAGGGATAGTACAAGAGATAGACGTAGTGCAAGAGTTAATGTTAGGTCCCCCAGGTATGGTCTCAGGTCCCCCAGGAATGGTCTCAGGTCCCCCAGGTATGGTCTCAGGTCCCCCAGGTATGGTTTCAGGTCCCCCAGGTATGGTCTCAGGTCTCCAGTAATGGTTTCATGACGATGTAGGTTCTTAGGGGAGAGGTCTTGAGCTCGTGATCTCTGGAGACAGTCTCAGAGGTCAGGGATGAGGGTAGGTTCTCAGGGGTAAAGTCTCATAATACATCCCGTCCTCCACATTGTTTCCTCCAAGCTTTTGAAAACGCTGTAGCGACCAGTGAAAAGGCGGGATCAGGAAACATGACACGACCCCTGCAACCACAACTAGGTGAGTACAACTAGGTGAGTACATGCTTGAAAAGTACATGTGTACCTACAGCCAGACCTAAGTCACTCTTTCGTTTAATTTCACTATTGTCTGGCAATAAAACGGAGATACAGGTTAAAATATGTTAACCTAACTAAGCCTAACATAACCTATCCTAAAATAACCTACCCTAACCTAACCAGTATTAACGAAAACTAATATTTCGTGGAGATTTCGTGCTGATGGAAGTACACGAGGTGCAGTTCGTGCGACACTGAGCCCAAACTGCGGGCAGGTGCTGAGGTTCACAGCGGGCTGGCAGGGGAAGGTCGTCGACCCCTCAGCCCAGTTTATCTGATATATTTAGCAGCTTCCTGACACCTACATCCCCTCCTCGTCTCGACCAGATTTGAGATTTTGCTTCCGAAGGATGAGTTAGTCACTCATCCTGTGAGTAAACATACCTCCGTCAACATATTACTGTTCAAAATTAATATCTGGCGTATTGTTGTAAAAATGAACTCCATTCTTGGTTGTTTTAATATAGAGTAAGACACGTGTGCAACAATTAGGAACCTTTATTGTTGACTAAAACATTTCGCCTACACAGTAGACTTCTTCAGTCAGACACAGAGGCAGCAGATGTGGTAGGAAAGTATCACTCTTTTAAGTACTCACTAAATGGTTATAACTATGACCATAATTTTTAAAGGGAGTGGACCGGTAAGCCAGCGGAAGGCCTCGGTCAGATGACCAAAAGCTCCAGCGGCGGGTCATCAACTAAAACCCGCGTTAGGAAACACTTAGTCGTGTTTCCTAACGAACCTTACCTAACCATCACTCTTATTACATTTTACCAAAATCTTATTGTAACAAATCCTGCAATCAATGTTACCAAACACAGTCACAACGTGGTTATTACTTTTTATGCATGTCTACAACATTTATTTAACACGTTTGCAATCTGTTTCGTTCTGATATGTAGTGTTAGAAAGTGTATTTACCCTCTCCTTGTAGTTTACCACTGCTCTCTGAGTTGCTACACCAACCTGCCTCGTACACAGGTATATCTTTACTCTTATATTTCCACTAGTCTTACCCTAAAGAAATCTCACATCTAATACAACCTTATTGTAATGTTATATAGGTTCAGTGTTTACTAACTCTTGTCTCAGAGTCGTCATTATATTTTTCCTGCCTCAATAATTCTCCAAACTTATTGTCTACATTTTCATGTACCGTTATTTTTGCTAATTCATCAGTTCTCTCATTCCCTGCCATGTTGACGTCAGATGGCATGCATAATTAACTTTGCAAATATTAAAACATCTAACACATATTTCTTCTAACTTCCTCTTCAATATTCAAGGTGACATTTCTGTAGTTCAAACCGAAGAAGGTTGACAATGAATCCGAAATTACAATTCTTCTTCTTTTACAACCTCAGTGTCCAGTGTAGGGGAAGCTAATTCAGTCTAGCTTGATGATATTCTATTCTGGACTCGAACAAGCTGTTGAAGATCTCTGAGAAATTTCTGGTTCCTCGGTATATTAAGCACTGATCCAGCAACAATAGTTACAGGAACTAATGATCCTTCGTCGAATATTTAATTGATAATCTCAGTTACATTAATTGTTAATGATGGCTGGACACTCATTCGTTACAATCAGCGATATAGTCACAGAGTGGCCCAAACAAATTGCCAAAAATAAAAACGAAATTTAGAAAGGACGTTATAACGAGGTTTCGGTCCATCCTTAACCACTGTTAAGCTACAAGTGGCAGTGGCGTAGCACGGACCGAAACGTCGTCGTAAGGTTCCTTTCCTAATTGCAGATTTTTGGTGGAAATCTGGAGATATTTCTGACTTTTTTATATTGAGTTAAAGCTCTCTTTATTATCTCAGTTTCCTCAGACGGAAGATTCCTCCTCATGTCTTTCCCGTTATGACAGTTTCAAATAATGTACCTCCATAACGAATCTTATCGACCAGTGAGATTTTCTGTTTACATTATACTTTTTCCAGTTAGTGGTAAAAATGGTACTTAACTTCTGTACTCTACACAAATAACTCTCACACAGGAGAATGAAATTTATTGTCCAAGTCGGAAGGGCTGTTTAGAATTATAGTATATTGGTAGATTTTACTTGAGTTTCAAGACTCGGGAGTAGAAGACAGAGTAGTAATGTAAACAACGAATATCAAACGTGTTTCACTTCCGTACCGTGACATTGTTTTCAGGAAACTTGAATACAGAGGAATATCTGATATTTTCCAATAACACAGGTACAAGAACAGGTGTGGTGGAACAGCGTCGAGCACCTTTGTTGTCATAGGATAAACTCAAGGCACCTTTGTTGTCATAGGATAAACTCAAGGCACCTTTGTTGTCATAGGATAAACTCAAGGCACCTTTGTTGTCATAGGATAAACTCAAGGCACCTTTGTTGTCATAGCATAAACTCAAGGCACCTTTGTTGTCAATTTATAGCCACCTCTCTGGTGGCTATAAATTGAAACGTAACTAATTCTACAGCTTAAGCTTAGTGACGGCGACAGATGTTTGTTAGCAAGAAGATTGGATGCTGTTGTGAGGTGAGGAAAGAGGAAGCAGTGGAGGCTGCAGGTATCTGGTGAAGAAGGAAGGAAGGAGCAATAGAGAGGCTGGTATCTGGTGAAGGTTGGGAGCATCAGTTAGTAAGACAATTTCTTTACAGGTCTTGAGAACACACAGATCTTACGGGTACATGAAAAGCGTACAGTATGTTACAATTACGACCATAATTTTTAAAAGGGTGGACCGGTAAGCCAGCGGAAGGCCTCTGTCAGATGATCAAAAACTCTAACAGCGGGTCATCATCTTAGACCCGCGTCAGGAAACACTTGTCATGTTTCCTGACGAACCTTACCTAACCTAACTTAGTCGAACAATGTGTGTATTATCTGACTAGGTTAGGTAGAGGTTCCGCTGTCTGGTGTCACTGCAGTCTTGTCAAACACGGACGTAGTGTCAATTGTAAAATAAGAACCTTATTGGAAATAAGTCACTTTGACTGAATTTCGGGGGGGGGGGGGTTATCCTACGTAATTTACACATATGTTACTAGGTATGATAATTGTACTTATGTGTACCTGTACCTAAATAAACTTACTTATGGTATGGTGGTTTACGTGTGTTGACTCGAGAAGGATGTAGGAGCCGAACACAAGTTTACCTACACCACACTAGGCCTGTGACTAATCTGGGAAGATGGGAATGTCACCCACTACGTGGATAGGCTTGCGCACATGCGCGAGGCAGGTTGGTCTAGCGTCAGTGAGAGCACAGAGCTTGAATGTGCGAAAGCGAAATATCAAGCTGATGCCGGTGAGGAGGAAGCAGTGGAGGTGTGTGGTGAGGAGAGAAGGAGGAAGCAGTGGAGGTGTGTGGTGAGGAGAGAAGGAGGAAGCAGTGGAGGTGTCTGTCTGGTTAATGTGTCAGCAGGTGCATACGACGTGGCCCTCAAGGTCACGCATGCGGTGCCAGTCGCCGCCCCCTGCGTGGCACTCTCACCTGTGTTTTAACAATGCTTGTAGAGCACTATGCTTTTCTGCGAGGCGCATCAAGCACTGTGTATGTCAACAACACTTTTGTGGGCACCCCCAGGGGGTAAAAAGTGTTTACCCCTTTACCCACCCCCCGACCCAAAACGTACGGGCAAATACTGGCCTGGGGCCCGCCCCGGCACTCCCCTGCTTTTACAGCCCACCTCCCCCACCCTCGCTGTCCTTTTACCCCCATGGCCCTTATCTAAAAAACCACAAAATCAACTCCCTCGATGATAAAGTTACTTTTTAGTTCATGGCTAAAAAATATAAACGCTGAAAATTTTTTCCCCAAGCACTATCAAGGGTGGGGTTAAAAAAGCACTCTGGGGTTTTAACGCATCTGGGGTATAACGCCTTTTGGGGGGATAAGCACTTCGGGTAAACAAAAATTAAATTTTTGAAACCCTCAGCACATATACCCTGAACACTAAAAAAACCAAACACTATAAAAAAACCGACACATACCTTCCAAAATTTAGTACTTGTGTGGGACTTCGCGAGGGCAGTACTGTTCATGACAAGTTTTCCCCCAAAAACAAACACACAAATACTGTATTTTGTTAAAATAATGTTTAAATTTTCGCGTTAAAGAATTTTTTTCGAACGGTGTTTTTTTGAAAAAATATGAAAAAATAGTGCGTTTAAAAAAATAACCAAAAAAAAAATATCCCCGGGGGTACCTGTTAATAACTAAGATAAAAACACAACCCCAACCCATGGAAATAACTAAGTAATTTAAAAAACCCCAAAGATGGTAAGTAACTAACATAATTTAAAACAAAACCACGATGGGGAAGATAAATAAATAATAAAAACAACCAACGATGGAAAAAAAAACTAAAATAATAACACAACCCCAAAGAGGGAAGATAAAATTTCTAATAAACCTTTAAAACCCAAAGATCGTAAGATAACTAAGATAATAACACAACCCAACGATGGGAAAGATAACTAAAAACAATAACAAAAACCCCAAAGATGGTTTAAAAATAATAAATAATAACCAAAAAACCCAACGAAGGGGAAGGAAACCCAAGATAATAAACAACCCCAACCCAGGGGAAGATAACTAACATAATAAAACCAACCCAACGATGGTAAGATAAAAATAAAATAATAAAACAACCCCAAAGAGGAAAAATAAATAAGATAATAACACAAAAACCCCGAAAGGTAAGAAACTTTAAAAAAAATAACACAACCCCAAAGATGGTTTAAAATAAATTTAAAATTTAAAAACAAAAAACCCCAACGGAAAGGGTTTGATAAAAATAAGATAATAACACAACCCAACGATGGTAAGATAACTAAGAAATAACCCCCCCCAAACCCCCCTGGTAAATCCCTAAGATAATAACACAACCCAAAAGATGGTATGATAAATAAGATAATAACACAAACCCAAAAAAAGGTAAGATAACTAAGATAATAACACAACCCAACGATGGTAAGATAACTAAGATAATAACACAACCCAACGATGGTAAGATAACTAAGATAATAACACAACCCAACGATGGTAAGATAACTAAGATAATAACACAACCCAACGATGGTAAGATAACAAAATTTAAAAAAACAACCCAAAGATGTAAATAACTAAGATAAAAACCCAACCCAAACCCCAGGGTAAAATAGCTAAGATAATAACACAACCCAAAAGATGGGAAATAAATAAGATAATAACACAACCCAACGATTTGGTTTAAAATAACTAAGATAATAAAAACAACCCAAAGATGGTAAATAACTAAGTAATAACACAACCCAACGATGGGAAATAACTAAGATAAAAAACCCAAACCCCCAAAATGGTAAAAATAACTAAAATAATTAAAAAAACCCCAAAGATGGTAAGTTTAACCCAAATTAAAAACACAACCCAACGAGGTAAAATAACTAAGTAATAAACAACCCAATGATGGTAAGATAAAAAGATAAAAAAACAACCCCCCGATGGTATGAAACTTTAAAAAATAACACAATCCAACGTGGTAAAATTAACTAAGAAATTTAAAATAAACCCCAAAGTGGGAAGATAAATTAAAATAATAACACAAAAACCCCCCGATGGAAAAATAACTAAGACAAAAACACAACCCCTCGTTTGGGAAGATAAAAAAAAGTTAATAAAAAAACCCCCTGATGGTAAGATAAAATAAAATAATAACACAAACCCAACGAAAGGTAAGATAACAAGATAATAACACAACCCAACGATGGTAAGAAAACTAAGATAATAACCCCAAACCAACAAAAAAAATGGTACGATATCTAAGATAAAAACAAACCCAACGTTTGGGAAAATAATAAGGATAAAAACAACCCAATGATGGGAAGATAACTAACATAATAACAACCCAAAAAAACGTGGTAAGATAACTAACATAATTTAACCCCAAACCCAAAATGGTAAGATAACTAGAAAATAACACAAACCCAAAGATGGTAAATAACCTAAGATAAAACCCCCAAACCCCAAAGATGTTAAGATTTAAATAAGATAAAAACAAAACCCAACGGGTAGTAAAATAACTAACTAATTTTAAAACAACCCAACGATGGTAAGAAAACTAACTAATAACACAAAACCCAAAAAATGGTAGATAATAAAAAAATAAAACAACCCAACGTTGGTTAAAAATAACTAAATAATAACCCAAACCCCCGGGTAAGTAACTAAGATTTAATTTTTACAACCAACGATGGTAAGGGTAATAACAAAAACCCCAAAGATGGTAAGATAATAACACAACCCAAAAATGGGGAAAGTAACTAAGATAATTAAAACAACCCAATGAGGTAAAATAATAAGATTAAAAACACAAAACCCAACGACGGTAAGGGTAAAATAAGATAAAAAAACACAAACCCCAAAGTTTGGGAAAAAATTTAAACTAAGAAAAAAAACACAACCCAACGATGGTAAAAAATAACCCCAACCCCAAAGATGGTAAGATAAAATAAAAATAATAACCAAACCCAAAAGGGTTTGGGAAGATAAAAAAAACCCTAATAACAAACCCCAAAAGATGGTAAGATAAAATAAAATAATAACGCAACCCAAAGATGGTAAAAGATAACTTTAAAAATAATAACAAACCAAAAAAGATGGTTTAAAATAACTAAAAATTTTTTAAACACAACCCAACGAGGGGGAAGATAAAATAAAATAATAAAAACAACCAACGTTTTAAGATAACTAAAAATAATAACACAACCCAACGATGGTAGATAATAAAACAACCCCCAAAGATGGAAAAAAATAACTAAGATTTTAAAACACAACCCAATGAAAGGTAAGATAAATAAATAATAACACAAAACCCCAAAGGGTGGTAAGATAAATAAGATAATAACAAAACCCCAAAAGATGGGAAGATAATAAAAAACAACCCAACGATGGTAAAGGTTTAAATAAGAAAAAAACACAACCAAAAGGGTTTGGGAAAAATAACAAAAATAAAAAACACAAACCCCCAACGATGGGAAAAAATAACAAGATAATTTAAAACAACCCCAACGATTAAAATAAGGGGGGGGGGGGTTTTTTAAATAAAAACACAAAACCCAAAGAAGGTAAATTTAAATAACATTTAAAACACCCAAAAACCCCTGGTAAAATAACTAAGATAATAACGAAACCCAAAAGATGGTTTAAGGGTAACGAAAATAATAAAACAAACCCCAAAGATGGTAAATAACTAAGATAAATAAAAACAACCCGCGATGGTTTAAAAAATAACTAAGATAAAAAAACACAACCCCAACATGGGGAAAAATAAAAAAGAATTTAAAAACAAAACCCAACGATGGTTTTAAAATTAAAAAACAAACTCAACGATGGGGGGAAGATAATAACAAAAACCCAACGATGGTAAATAAAAAACAAAAAACCCAAAGGGGGTGGGTTTTAAGGTTTAACTATTACGATGGTAAGATAACTTTTGGGGTTTTAAAAAACAACAACCCCCCTTGGGTTTGTTTTTTAAAAACCAATTTAACGATGGGGGAAGATAATAACCAACCCAAAAGATTTTTAAGATAACTAAGATAATAACACCCAAACCCAAAAGATGGTAAGATAATAACCCCAAACCCAAACCCATTGTAAAAATAACTAAAAAATAAAAACAAACCCCCCCCTGGTAAAATAAAAAACATCCCAAAAATTTGGGAAATAACTAAAATAATAAAACAACCCAAAAAAAAGGTAAGAAAAATAATCCCAACCCAACATGGTAAGAAAAAAAAACACAACTCAACCCATGGTAAAAATAATAATTCATCCCTTTAAAAGGGGAAATAACCCAAGGGTAATTTAAAACAAAAAACCCCAAAAAATTTGGGAAGAAAAAAACACAACCCCCAAAGTTGGTAAAGGGGTAAAAAAACCAAAAACCCAACGGTTTGGGAAGATAACTAAAAAATTTTAAAAAACAAAAACCAAAACCCATGGGGAAAATAACATAAGAAATAACACAACCCCCAACGATGGTAAGATTTAAAATTTTTGATTTAAAAAACCCCAAACCCAAAGATGGTAAGATAACTAAATAATAAAAACAACCCCAAAAGATGGTTTTTTTAATTTAAAAAAAAACCCAACCCATGGGGAAGGGTAACTAAATAACAACCCCAACCCAACGTTGGAAGGTAATTTAACCCCAATTTAAACGAAAGGTAAGTAACTAAGATAATAAACAACCCATGATGGTAAGATAACTAAAATAATAAAACAACCCAACGGGTGGTTTTTTTATAAAATAAGATAATAACACAACCCCCAAAGATGGAAA